AAATGCAGAGGAGATGAAAACCACAACAGAATAGCCCTCAGACCAAGTTTGAGAATCACACAATATGCAACTCAGCAATCAGCAATTGAGATTTACTGTGAAAAATAGAAGAGCAAAAAAAAAACAAAACACAACACATGATCTCCAAGCTGCTAAGCATTACATCCACATCTACCATGAACAACCGGAGCCCCTAGCTTCGTTCTGCTCCCGGTCTTGTAGGGTGAGGCTGCTACAGAGTAAACAGCAAAGGCTTTTTCCCCAAAGTCTTACCGGCACGGTATCTCAGCTCCACGATCGTTTCACCTTCTCTGCTTAATTCTGTTACTTCGCATGTGTAGTTCCCAAGGACGGCGTCACTCTTTTTCATCTTCAAAGAGGCGACTCCTTTGAGTAATTCTGATATTGCTATCTGCGCACTACTAAAATTACTGTTCACTACAGCAGCCTGGTCTTTGTTTCCCTCGTAGATGAAGATGTCTTTTCCTTTAAATTTCCACTTTACATACAGGTCGCCAAGACTTTTCGGTTCCAAATTATTAGGGAAACAGGGGAGGACAACAGTTTCATTGCAAGCGGTTATTTCTACAAATTTGGTTGCATTAAATGTTATTTGAGCAGAACCTGGAAAACAAAAGAAAAAGTGTTTCATTAACTTGTAGAATTTTATAAGACCCTAGATATGTTACACACGCTACCACTGTTCACGTACGGTAGCGAGATGTGGCAATACAGAAGAAAAGCGAGGTCAAGTAAAAACCAAACCCAAATCAAATCATTTTAATATCAGTTAGCACAGAAAATGGACAACGCTCCAACTTCTCTTTACCCATCCTCAAGCATTTGGGGAATAAATTCATCCACCACATTAGAAGCTTTGAAATAATAATATTACCTAATGGCGCAAGGAGAAAATTATTAACCATACCTTGGTAAAATTTTACACAGAAAATCAACTCAAATATTATATTGAATCTTAACTTCTATCAACATCCTCCAAACAGAACTTGCTAGAGCCAATATGAAGTTTTTCGCCATCCTTAAGCTGTATTATAAGTTTAATATACAAAATAAATCAGATGAAGCACATCACATTTTCCCACTAGGATAGACAGTCTTAGAACATTGACAAGTATACAAAACAAAAAACCTCTGTGACTGTCTTCCTATTGCAAAACAACATTTTGTATGCAAGTGCAATAAAGGGTAACCAACTAACTATATAGAGGAAATAGTACAACAAAGCTTTAACAACGATGGCCCTTTAATGCATGAAAAATAGAGAAGACAACTGCAGTGCTCCACATCCTTCACATTTTACATGATGGCTGGCTGCATGTACGTTCCCAGTCACATCCCCCTACTTATTGGGAGTCCTGGTGGCACTGTTGGGTAAGAGTTTCACTGCTAACCAGAAGGTCTTCAGTTCAAATCCACTAGCTGGTCTGATGGAGAAAAGTAAGTCTGTCTGCTCCTGTAGAGATTTACAGTTCTGGAAACCCTTTACACAGTCACTGAGTCAGAATCGACTTGAGGGCAGTGAGTGAATTCTTATTTATTAGCAGAGGCTGCTTTTGGTTTCAACTAGCTTCTGAGCTTTATTTTGAGTGGTTTGGAGCTCTTGGTGGGGACAGAATACCGATATGTTTGGAAATCATTGCTCTGCAGTTTCAATGACATGTGAGGGTGACTTTACTCTGGAAAATAAGATAACAATATCAACCTTGTTTATAATTCGCCCTTAGGGTTTCTACATTTTTACATAAACTGGCAGAAAATGTGGGCATAAACTGTTAGAAACCATTCAATGAGCATACCTAATCGTCAGTGAAAGCCCAGTGGATTGCACGCTAGGGCGGACAGACTATAACTGCCAATGTTCACATAGCCTGATTCCGGATGCGGGGTATGTCACTTTTTTGGTCGATGACTTTAAGTAACTTCAAGTTATTCTCAGTGAGTTAAGTATTGGCTCTGAACTACAAGATCTGTGGGTCAAATCCACCAGTTGCTTCTCAAGAGAAAAACGAGGCTGTCTGTTCTTGTAAAGAATTACAACCTCGGAAACCCTAACAAGCAGTTCTACTCTGTCCTCCAGGGCCACTGAGTCAGAGCAGACTGATGACAATGGTCTGGCTGTGGTTGGGTTGGTTCACTAACCAACCAACTCTCTGAAGATCAATAGGAACACCGGCAGGTTCCTTCATATGGACTGCCAGCAAAATGAACAAATCTGTCTTGCAACAAATACAACCACAATGCTCCTTCGATGAAAGGATGGCAAGTCTTTGTCTCATGTACTCATATTACCAGGGGGCATAATCCCTTAAGGAGGACAACATGCTTGGTAAAGTAGGTCAAAGAGAGGAAGACTCTAACGGGGTGGGCTGACAAAGCAACTCCCAGAATGGACTCAAGCACAGTAATGACTGGGAGGAGTGACAGAGGATTGGGGCAGCGCTTTGTGCTGTTGGGTACAGGGTTGCTAGGAGTTGCAGCTAACTGGAGGGTGCCTAACAAAGACAAAACAGAAGTGTGGTGAACAACAAAGGGAAAGGATACATGGTCAGGGGCTCTGTAAGCATTACTGGTATAAAAATGCACGGAGATACTATATAATCTAAAAATTATAGTATATGTACGGTAAGGATCCGGATCCTCTCTTGTTATAGTTCTGGTAATCTGAACCCTAATGGAATCTTGGTGTCCACTTTTCCCCGAGTTCCCGAAATTCTAGCTACACAAAAATTAAAGAGCTCTAAGCAAAATCTGGACTTCCCAATTGCATTCTCCAAAACCTTGGAGTCGGGAGTGATTCATAGTCTGTACTACATTCTAGAGTTGTGCAGGAAATATTTCCCTTGGGAGAGAAGCCTTGAGAGAGCAGCTATAGTATACAAGAGGAGAAGGAAGGGGTTATTGTATTGGAATTTTAAAAGATGGAAAAGGTCAGAAAATAGACAAAAAGATTGACTGGGTCCTTTTTTCATAAACTCGATGGATTATCTGGTTCTCTTGGTCTCTCTCTTGACTATTTGATAACCGTGTAGATTGTAGAAAATTGAAGGAAATGCAAAGGATCTGTGTCCACAGCAATGCAAGTAAATTTTGTTCTGCAACGGATCTCTATCTTGTAGAAGAGTTGCTTTCAAACCATTACATGTTACTGCCCTGAGAAGAATACCCTTTTTGCCCCTATAGTAAATTTATTTCAGTATTCCTGATTGCCTATAAATGTTTCTATTCTCCTAATTTTCCTTTGAAAGGGTATTATTTCATCACTCATTAAGGAATGACATAAAATCTTTGGCATATATTCATTTTAGTTATGTGAAGTATGATTTTACCTTTAAAAAGTATCCCTTAATAACAAAGGTACCAGAGAAGACTCAGTTATCCATTTGAACTTTTCATTCTTATAAGGTTCTAGGTTAAATCAGAAGTAGCCTGTAAATACCCCACAATTTCATAATTTATCTTTAGAGAATGAATTTTCATCATAATGCAGGAAGCACTAATTGCACTGAATCACTTGTTGAAATCATGAATTTTATAGCTGAGCCAATGTAAGTAAAATAAATGCTGTCAATAAAATTCAAATTAAAAGTGACCTGGATAACCATAATTTGAATAATCCTTACACTAATAATTAATAAATAAGAGTGGTCCAAAAATGTCACTCCAACTATAACTTCATCCTCTATAAATATTTATAAAGAACTATGAAGTAATAAAAGTATCTGCCTGGCTTCTGATCAAACAGCAAAAAAAAAAAAAAACCCAACCCAGGAAACATAAAAAATATCTAGGGCAAATAAAGAAACATGGAAAATTAATACCAAAAAGAAAATTCTGAGTAATCACGATATGTATAAAGCAGTCTAAAAGTCAGACAGGCATTGATAAAGTTAACGAACAGGGATGCCAGAATTATAGATAAATTAGCAAAGGATGGAAAAATTACTTTAGTTCAAGTGACAAAAATATTTCAAGTGCTGTGCATACAGCCCACCTGACTACAGCTCTGTGGTTGCACATGTGGGTAAGGGCACTACAGTCCCAAGATGCAGGTCCAACACAGAAACTGAGAAACACAAATGTCTGTTCATAACTACTCCATAAATAGCACTGTGATAGAATGTGGGGATGTAACAGTAAAAATAAAATGCTGGAATTACTTTTTAGGGGTTTACAATTGTCATAGATTGGGAGTGGGTGGGATATGATAACCTTTATAACACAAAGTCTTAAAAGTGCTATATCCTTCCGGTATGAACAAAGAACTATGCATGCGCACAAGAGTAGTTTTACAGATTTCGAAGAATTTGTGTGGCTACTCATGATCAACAGGCAATGACTGTCGTAATCCCTACCCAATCCAGGCCTTCGATCTTTCACATGTTCCATATAAAGGTTGTCTACATTTTAACAGCTCTAAACCACTTCCCCTTTGTTCCTTATACCATCCTCTCCAAAAAAGCCCCTCCCCTCCTACCTCGGAATTCAAACTGAGTCCTACAGGTGAGAAAGCCAGCAGTCTCCTATACTCTGCATTAGAGCTGAAATGCTCAGTACTCCAATGCTGCGTGTGTGCAGCTGACAGAGAGCCCTACATCGATTTTGAGTCTCCACACAAGTTCAGTGTCCATGGAGTTCTTACTGATCACTGACCAGTAAAGTAACAAGCTTTGCTGCCAGGCACAGTGTGTCTGTGGTCATTGCCTTGGCCTGCCCAGAAATGGCCTGTGTGAATTCTAGACAAAAACTGGAGTATGAGGGTCACATGACTGGATCATGCCCCAATCAAAATGGTCAGAGGATCTCAGAAGCAATCTTCTGTAAATTTTTCTAGTCTTCAATAGAATATGAATCTCAAATCATGGTCCCTTTTCCTGCTTCTATAATCCCACCTGCAACTGTGATGAAATAATTTCCTACTAACCATGATTTTAAGATGAATTTCCTCCGGCCCACCCCCACCCCATGCTTTGTAATTTGTAATATGGCTATGAAACCTTTGGCCTCGTGCTGATGGTATACCTTATCTGGATAATCGCTTTTCTTCTCTGTCTTCTCTTTGTGCTGTCTAAAACTTCATAATGGGGTCTCCAGAATATACATTTGAATATGGGGTCTTTCTCCCCCTGGAACAACTCCTGAGCTATAAACTTACCAACAACCTCAACTAGCCACATCTCACTTCTCTCTGTTCAGAAACGAACCCCTTACCTGTGAGCTCATTTCCATTTCTGCCTCCATAACCATCAAGCTCCACAGAGATTTTCCTTAGTTGATGATTAGCTCCCACATACCCCTAGCTGCAAGCTTTCCCATCATTTAGTTTTTATTCTTAAACCTCTGTTTCAAAAACAACAAACATTTTAAAGCCTTGAATCTTCCCTAGCTTAAAAAAAAAATTCCCTGGCAGCCCCAAATAACACTCTGTATGCATTCCTTCGCCTCCAATCCACCCTTAAAACCCGGCCTCCTGGCCTCCACCCTCCACCCTACTTCCTCACCACAATAGCTTTTCGACAAAGTCACAATCATTTCACGGGGGAAATCCTCTGTGCACTGTTCATTTTCCATCTGACTTCACTCATCTGTGTTCTGGACCCAGTGTCCCAGCTCCTTTTATGCTCTGGTCCTATCACTTGGTTCTGAATTTCCTTACTGCTTTATCCACCGTTTTCTTTCTTTCCTGAGGGCTATACTTTGGCTTCCAGTAAGCGTTAGTGGTTCTGAGGTTTTCGTAATCCTCTGCTGCCCTGCAGAACCTCCCATAACCCCAGGCTTGACTATTCACATTCCTTTTTCTTTAACCAGATCCTGA